TCCTGGGAGCATAGGAGCAAAAACTAAACTAGTGGCATATAGTTTGGGAACTGAAAGCATCTCTAGTGAGACAAGCATGAAGATATTCATAGGAACACAAGACTCTCAGTATTCACTGCAGTGGCATTTGGAAAAAAGTCAAACCTATATAAATATTACTGTGTTTTTCCTTGGGGATTGTCTGTTTGTTTCCTCAGCCAGATAATAAGTTTTCTATTTTTTTCCTGTATTCTTCCATTCACTCGTACTGCTTCTGTGTGTGTGTGTATGTGTATAAACATGTATTTTATTTAGAAAGCTAATAGATTCAGAGAAGGTTTATTACTTAAAAAAAGTAACTGATAGAAGGATGGGGGTGCTAATTATTCAGCTGAATCCAAGATTATTGTACATCTTTCACACACACATATGAGAGCTAAAAGCATTTAGCTGCTAACCAGAAGGCCGGTAGTTCAAACCCACCAGCCACTCCTTGGAAGGAAGGTTGGGCAATCTACTTCCATAGAGATACTGCTTCGGAAACCCAAGAAGGGGTCGCTATGAGTTGGAAATGACTCCACGGCTGTGAGTTTTTTTGTTTTTAAATATGTGTGTGTATATGAATATCCATAGAATAACAAACTGTAAAGATGGAAACAGAATCTGAGAACATTTAATTTGTCTTGTCATTTTTAAAAGGTCCTCGTGTGTAAACTTTTTTCTTCTTTTACGTTTTATTGTGGTAAAATATATATAATAAAAGTTTGCCATGTTGTTATCATTACTGATCATTTTGATCGAAGATTCTGTAGAAGAATCCTCATCACAAGGGGTAAAAATGTGTAACAGAATTTCAAATTCTCATGGAATCCAGAATTTCTGGAGCCTTTGAGATTGGAGGACTTCCCAAAACTATTACCGTGGGGAAGTCTTTTGACTTAAACCAGAACTATCCCCTGAAGTCATCTTTAAACCAAATGGTAATTTAATGTGATTAGTAAAGAACGTTTGCTTTTGAGTATTATGCTCTTTTAATGAATTAGCTGAATGTGATCAAATTGACAACAGCAACTCAAAAAGTTAGACAAGAAGCACAGGGGGCAGAGAGTGTGTGCTGGTGACGGTCAGATCACTTGAAAAAGGATAATGAGAAAGGGGCGCGACACGTGAAATGGAACCAGCGTCACCGAACTGTATGTGTAGAAAATGTGTGATTGGGGTATGTTTTGTTTTGTATATTTAACACACAAATCACTAAAAAAAAAAAAAAAAGTTTTCCATTTTTTTAAGTGTATAATTCAGTGAATATTTAATTACATTTACCATGTTTTACTCTCACCACTATCCATTTCCAAAAGTGGCTTTTATTTATTTATTTATTTTAACCTCAGACAAAGCCAGTAACCCTTCAGCTGTAACTCCCAATCCCCAACCCCCAGCCCCTGGTAACTACCAGTAAACTTTGTCTATATGCAATTGCCTGTTCTAGGTGTTTCATGTAACTGGGATCATGCAATATTTGTCCTTTTGGGCGTTTGTTTTCAAGGTTCATCCATGTCAGGGCATGTATCAGAACTTTGTTAATTTTTTTTATACTGTACTTTTGTTTACTTTATGGGTTTTAAAAATGGCAGTAGTAGCTTACAGTAATACACAGCAATCCCTTACACTTGAATATGAATTTATAGTTTATAAGGACTTTGAAAGATGTTCAGTTGTTTGTTTTTTCTTCACAAAAAATCCCCTGGAACAAGTGGGGCAGGTCTTACTTTCCATACTTCGTTGGTTGAGAAGTTACACCACAGTTGCAGGGTTCATCCAACGTTTCATGGGAGGCTATGGGACAGGTGGAAGTCGTAGTCATAGTCGTAGTCGTAGTTGTAGTCGTAGTCGTAGTAGTTGTAGTAGTAGAGGCGGCCACGCCTCCTGACTTCCACTCAGTGCCCTGTCTGTGCCCAGTCCTCACTGGCTCCCAGGTAACTACACAGATGCCACAGTGTTGGCCTTCACTGTCTCCTGCTCCCCTTCCCTGGACTTGGGCTCCTAAGAGAGAAAACACTGGGGAGGCCCTGGCCCTATGCACGTTTCTTTATTTCCCCGAATCTCAACCTTCTTCCCAATTTGGTAGCTAGAATGAAAATCTGGAAAAATTGTGAACATCAGTGTTAACTTGACAGAAGTTTGTGCAAGTGACACTTGTATTTCATCCCTGGAAGTGGGTATAGAGTCTGAGGGACTGGATTCATGGTAATTCTCCAAACCCAGTATTTACCTTGACCGTTTATTGCATACCATTAACTTGGTGTGCTCAGTCTTCTCAAGTCCATCAAACCCAATGCCTCGTTTACAATTGTGAAATCAAAACTGTAGTCAAATAACCTGTCTACCCACAATTTATAAATGATTGTAATTTCTAGCAAAACGAAGAAATAAAGTTATGTTAAGTACAATGTATTTCAGTAAGTATATGCTTCAGTATGTATGTAAGACATATAGTCAGATGCTCACAACTGTATGTAGGATCACTAAGCATATGAAAGCTGCAAATGTAGTCTGATGGGGCTTTTTGTACTGGCAGTTCAAATACTATAAGTGCTGTTATTGCAGTGACTTGATTTTCTGAAATGATGAACATCTATTAGTAAAATTCCAAACCAAACAAAATATGAGCCTGGAGAATTCAATGTGTGTTAAAAACTGCATAAAGCAATCATGTTTTTATGTAAAACAGTGTTAGGCTCAAAACTCTGATTGTCATAAACTGGCTTTTTTTGCCAACATGAATGCCTGGCAGGGTGTTTGACAGCACAGTCCTGTATTGTACAGCACTGTCCATGTATTGCTGATGAGTTAGTACTCTAGAGCTTGTCAACTGGATACCAAGTGTCTCTGAGGTAAGATGGCAGTTGAAATTGACCTCACAAATTTAGAAACCTTTATAGACCGCGTTGAAAATCTGCTTTAAATCCTTCACAGAGACATGGAACCCTAAGGGACCCCAGAAGAACAAAGACTTGCTGACATTCCAGACCAGAAACTCATGGTCATAGAGGGGGCAGGAGGGCAGAGGCCTTCTGTCGGTATCTGCCTTAAGGCTGAGATGGGCTTTTACCTTCATCTTGCCTTTATCTGCCTGCACTATCTGCTTGGCGTTCCTGAGGTGGAATTTTTATGCACTTTGCCTCCATTCACTGCAGTTGTAGCTTGCAGGGGAGGCTTTCTTTTGGAGACTAGATTCTGAAGGAGTTGCGGAAAAAGTCTAAGAAAACTGATGGAAGTTTTCAATACAAGTAATTTGTGATTGTGCAGATAATATGACTTAGTTATTTTGGTATATAAATAGTGAATGTTAATCTCTTTTGATCAATTTGGAGGATATAATTTTGCTATAAACTATAACCTTTTAATAGTTGAGTCTGTGAGTTATTTATTTCACAAAGATAATCTATAATAACAGTAAAAATCAAAATGGAAGAAAACATTCACCATTATTGTGCGATCTTAGCAATCAGTGTTTTCATATTCTCTTTTCTGTTAAGCAGTGTTTTTGTGCCACATGCTCCTAGGTTCAAAGTCCCCAGCTTTGCCGGGAGTTGGCCTTGTAATCTAAAGCAAACTAATCGCATGTCTCTGAGCCTTACTGTAAAGTTTCCTCACCAGTAATATGAAGATGCTAATATTTAGTATTCATACGGATTGATGTAAAGTACCTGGTACAGTCAATAGTTGAGTTTTACTTCCAGTACTGTTCCTGGGTGTATTGTTTTTCATGCAGTAGAACCATAGAGCTGATAAAAATTTTCAGTTTTCTTTTCTACTTGGCCTATTTCCAGAGTGTGAACAATTTCCATAATTACTACTTTAAAAGTATTGAATCCACGTATATTCTAGTAGACCCATGACACTCTGCTTATTATAAAGAATAAAATATTTTGTCCTTTCTGTTTATAACATTAAGTGCAAACTTACTTACGTCCCTGGAAAAATAAGGTGGTTTTTTTGTATGTTTACTTTTTAACTCCTTTCTTGCAATAACATAAGCAAAACCAAGAAGACAAGAACAGAGCTGAGTTGCTGGGAGGTGGCAGGCTTGTTACCTAACTGATGCACTTCCACACGCTAGGCTGCACAAAAGTTGTCAAAAGCACAGATAAGAACTCCGAGAATACCAAGGAGGTGCTGTGCTGGGCCTAGTAATGATTGCGGCATTCATGGACATTTATCAATTTTTATTTCCTGTTTTAAGGTAAATCTCTAGAAGTTGAATTACTTAAAGAACACAAATCTTTCATGCACTTGATGTAATTGCTTTATAAATTGTTTCCCAAAGACATTGATTGCATAGATTTATAATGTTCCTAGTTATGTAAAGGAGCTCTGGTGGCAAAGTGATTAAGCATTCAGCTGCTAACCAAAAGGTCAGGGTTCGAACCTACCAGCTTCTCTATGAAAGAAAGACGAGGCAGTCTGCTTCCATAAAGATTTACAGACTTGAAAACCCTATAGGGCAGTTCTACTGTGTCCTGTAGTGTCTCTATGAGTCAGAATCAACTGGATAGCAGTGAGATTTAGTTACATAGTTTCAGCTCTCTATAACTAAACCAAAAAAACAAACCTGCTGGCATCAAGTTGATTCCAGTTCATAGCGACCTCATTGGGATTCCAAGGCTGTAGGTCTTTAGGGAAGTAGATTGTCTCATCGTTCTCCCATGCAGCAGCTGGTGGGTTTGAACTGCTGACCTTCTTGTTAGCAGCCAGATGGCTTACTTACTGTGCCACCAGAGTTCCTTCTCTCTATAAATAGAGGACTAATTTAATAGGTGAAATACTGATTTTTTAATTTATATTTCTTTGATTACTAGTAAATTTAAATATTTAATTTCATATATTTATAATATTTTCTTTTGCATTATTTATTCATTCATATTTTTTGCCTTAATTTAAATTATAGGATAACTTACCAGTTTGGAGTTTGGGAAATACTAGATTTTTGTCTAATATTATTTTGCTTTTTCTTTCAGCCCCAGTAATAAACCGATTCACAAGGCGTGCCTCAGGTAAGCCTGACTGTGTTACAGATTTTGCTTATTTATTTCAAAAACGAGAGTTGCATTGGACATAAAGGTATGAGGAGAATAATGGATGTAGTGTAATAATTTATTTGGCATTCATTTTACCAGAAAATACAACTATGTAGTGTATAATCAAGAACTGGGAAATAATTGAAGATAACTTATTAGTGGCTAACTTAAATTACCACAGTGCCCTAAAACTCTTGTACATGTCTAAGTAGAGACTTCTATCCCAGTTTATTTCTCTTGCTTTTGATAAAATGGAACCCCGGAGGCACAGTGGTTCAGTGGTTAGCTGCTAACTAAAAGGTTGGCGGTTCACACCCTACCGGTGGCTCTGCAGAAGAAAGACCTGCTGATCTGCCCCCGTAAATATTACACCTGGAAAACCGTACGGGACAGTTCTCCTCTGTCGCATGGGGTTGCTGTGAGTCAAAATTGACTCAGCGACACTTACTACCAGCAACATGGTTACCTGATTTATCAGTCACAGTGTAGACGTGGTGAAGATGGGTAAAGGGCACCCTGGAAACAGTGATGAGTGAAACTTTTTAATAAGGGGCAAGAAAACTCTAGAAATGCAGGTGTGAGAACTTGATAATATAGGGCCATTTAGAATAGAAGCAGACTGCTTTTCTTTTGCTGCTGTCCCTGAGACTACTGCCGTCTTTAGTGACAGACCTTAGACATTACTAACCAGTCTACATATTAACAAATGATTGATGTGGGTTCAATATACTGCCTATGGTATACAATTAAGAGCATTTCTATCTAAAGTGTTTTAAGTAAAATAAGTTTGAATATAGAAATGAACAATTATTTTGGAAAATTCACCTCTGTGGAATACTTTCTTATCTGGTGACAGAAAACAAGTGAAGTTTTGAGAAAACTTTTAAATGTAACTAGAAATTTTGTGTTGAAAACACAAGAAAAACATTTCAAACTGACCTTCTCTGGAATTTGTATGGTTCATATGAGTGATTTGTTTCATAAAGTCACCTTATGCTATATAATATTAAAGATATTTTAAGGTTCAACAAAAAAAAAAAAAAACCAAACTCACTGCCGTCAAGTCGGATCCAACTCATAGCAACCCCTCCTTGGGTTTCTGAGGTGGTATCACTATGGAAGTAGATTGCCCAACCTTCCTTCCGAGGAGTAGCTGGTGGGTTTGAACCGCCAGCCTTCTGGTTAGCCGTCAAGTGCCTTAGGCACTATGCCACCAAGTTTTATTTTTAATTTGTGAGTAGTTATGGCTATAATTTTCCCTTATCATATAGTGAGCCAGGTTTATAAAGACAAAGATGGGAATTAGGAAAATGCACTATATTGGGATGATACCCTCCTGAGCTTTTCATAATCCTCTAGGCATGCTTATTTTAAATGCTGAAAACGTGTAGATTATAATACCTTTTGTGGAATTAGAGGTTATGGTTACACCTGGACAGCATCAGACTGTGTCCCAAACTGTCCCAAGCTGTCAAACGTGATTGTGTCCTAATGCAGTGCGTGCAGTCTGTTATGAGCAGTGGTGGAAACAAGGAGGGAAGAATATGAGAGAATTAGCATTGGGCCCTTTTGTCTCAGAGTAAATAATCTCCCTGAATTTTTTTTTACCCCATTTTATTTTGAAAAATATTAAGCTTACAGAAAAGTTTAAAAATAATCCAGCACACACCTGTATATCCTTTACCTACATTCCCCAGTTAATATGTTCCCCAGTTAAAATGTTCTCTGCTTCCCCTTCTTTCTTCCGCTGTCAGTCTCGGTGTCTGTCTCCCCCCATGTACACGTGCACACGCACACACACGTGCACACACACACAGAGTCCTTTATTTTTTACTGAACTTCTTATTAATCTTTCTGGTTTAGAAGATTACTCTTTTTGATGGAAAAATAGAAACAATATAGCATTTATTGTTATTATTAAAAATTAATTGTAGTACTAGAAATGGCCACTCAAATCTCGGAAGAGTTAAGCAAAGCAAACAGTGATTCTTTTGCATCATTGTTTATCTAGCATATTATTTGGGAAAGATCCTAGGGTTTGCAGATAGACAAACTTGAGTTCAAACCTCCCACTTGGCTGTGTGAATTTGCCTGTAAGGGTTTACTGAGTTTTACTTCCTTATTTTCCTTTTCTTTCAGTTTAGGATCTTAACAGCTATATTTAAGCTTATTTACTACAAGGGTTAAGTTGAATGGTTTTTATAAAACCCTCATAAGAGTTTCTCATCTTTCTCCTACAGTGTGGCTGGTGGGTTCACACTGCCAGCCTTTTAGTTAGCAGCCAAATGCTTTGACCACTGTGTCACCAGAGTTCCTTACCAGAGTGTCTAGGTTGTCACATATGTTCATGCTCAGCCCTATTGAGCATGGGTTAAAACAAAACAAAACAATAAACCCCTCAGCCCTGTGCCTTAGCCTTTCAGAAAAAAAGCTTTATAGAGTCATAACACTATTTGTTATTAATCCTTTAATATGGGCATCTCTTTTTTAGTGTTTTTATATGCTAGGTTTTTTAAAAAATTATAGTAGTTTCCCTCTGTGGCTTTGTCTCTAAATTGGAAAAAAAAAAAAAATAGATGTTCTTTTAATCTTGAGACAATGCCTTGTATCATGGGGTGAAATTTGTGCCTGAGTTTTTTTTACCCTACTGTCTTATTTTGGAAAATGTCAAGCTTAGAGAAATGTGTAAAAATAGTTCAAAGAATACCTGTATATCCTTTATCTAGATTCTCCCGTTAATATTTTACACACTCTCTTCTTTCCCTTCTCTCTCTCTGCCTCTTACACACACACACACACACACATTCATTTTTTTACTGAGCCTTTTAGGAATTGTAAATACTTGAGTGTGTATCTCCTAAGAACAAGGACATTCTTCTGCATAACCGTAACATGACATGCAAGGAATTTAACCTTGACACATAGTGTTACCGAATATATAGTTTAGACCTCGATTTTCCCAGTTGTTCAAATATGTCCATTTGGCGGGGTGGGCAGGACAGGGAAAAATGCAAGATCATTCAAGGATCTCATATTGCTTTAACTGTCACGACTCAGTTTTTCTTGCTTCCATAAATAAATTGACTCCCTGAAATTTTTGAAATCTGATTTTTCAGCATTTTGATGGCTAACTGTAACAGTCTCCTGAATTGACTCTTAGGAATCCCTAATGGTAGGGGCACAGCCAGTGTCTGGTGCTTGTGCCCCATTGGTGTCCATGACGTCTTTGCATTGACCATTTAGTATTACTTCCAAGGACTACTGCTGAGTATTACTTGCTCTGATAAGTAATCATTTCCTATAATAGAAGTGAAAATGGAACTCCACATTGTGAATTTGGTAATTTCTTCTCTCATATATTTTTACCCATAAGCATTAAATTTGAGTACATTTTAAACAGAGCTAAAAATTGTATTATCTCTCCTAAACAAACATTGAGAATAATTCAGAGGTAAAATAAAATCTTTAAATTTCACACACCCACCGTGAAAAATCATGTATTAAAAATCTCAGCAAAATCACCCCAAACAGAAAGTGCTTAGTCTTCAAGACAATAGTGAAATAGCAGAAGTTCAGATCTTGGCTTTGACTCCAATTCAGGGAACATATATTTCCTTTTATTTTGTTCTGGAAATATTTTATCATCTTGGTATTCTTTGCTTCTAAAGTTATTTGGTGATAAGAGCTTTTTAGCCCCAAAATTACTTTCCAGAGGCGATTTGCTAATTTGCTGTCATAAATGCATTTACATGTATACTGTTTTGAAATGAGTTTCCTTTTGGATAATATTTTAAGCTTAGTAACTATCCATGCTAGGTAGTACATATTGGGAGAATACTGTCTTAACTAATTAATCAAGATGCTTTAACTAATTAATTAAGTAATTCATCCAGCAAACATTTGCTGAGTCCCTACAGTGTGCCAGATACAGTGCTAGGGATGCAAGAAATATAGGACACAGTCCTTCAAAAGTTCACAGGTTAGTGAGGACACTGGCTGTGACCCACAGTGTGGGGGAGACCATAATGTCCACAAAGTGAAAAGGAGCAAACAGTTCTTCCAGGGTGTGGCTCAGCGCAGGTGCCATTTGAACTGGTCTTTAAGGTTTATAACAAGTTTCAAGAGGAAAATAAGACAAAGAGTATTTGTGTGTTACCACTGCCAAAAACTGAATCAAATGCTTTGCTGTCAAGTTGATTCTGACTCATGGCAACCCCATATGTCACAGAGTAGAGCTCCGTAGGGTTTTCTTGGCTGTAGTCTGCCAGGCTTTTCTTCGGCAGCACTGCTGGGTGGGTTCACACTGGCAGCCTTTACGTTAGTAGTTGGGCACAAACCATATATGCCACCCAGGGACTTTTTTTTTTCCCCCCAAATCACTAATAGCTAACCACTTATAACCAGTACACCTATTGTGAAAAGTCCTTTTTCGCAGCATGCTATCATGTACTTTGCCATTGCCATAAAGCACCGTGGCATACAGTAAGCCTATAACCATGGGTGGCAGAGGCATAAAGCCAGGAATTATTTCTGCTTTTAATTTATCGTTGCTTCAAAATGTTAGGTTCTGCTTTACAGTGGAGGCAGTATAGCTTGGATTCAGATGGACGTAGGTTGGGAGTTGTAGCTGTGCTGCCCAGATACCCACTTATTAAGTGTGTGTGACCTTAAAAGATCACCTATATGAAAGCAAAAGGTCAAGAATTACTTGAAACAAAGGTGAGATTGTATGGGCAGGGAAACTAGATTAGTGGAAATGGAACAACCAGAACAGAAATGAGAATGTTCACACACTGTAAAGAATATAACGAATGTCATTGAACAATTTGTGTAGAGATTGTTGAATGGAAACCTAAATTGCTGTGTAAACCTTCACTAAAACACAATTAAATATTATTTAATAATTAAAAAAAT